GGGTGGAGTGAGCCGTCACATGGCTAGGAATGGGTAGGGCAAGAGATGCGTAGGCGACTGCAATACAAGCCCTGATCCACCTACCTATAGTGGAAGGTGACACCTTTTGGCCCATTGAGGAAGGCTGAAAGGATATAAACAGGGCTTCTGACTTACGGAAAGGGGCCGTGCGTTTGATATAACAGTGCAAGGCTCTCGTCACGTCTAGTGAGTGCCATTGCCATTCCAAGTCATGCGACGGGTGAGGATAGAAGTCCAGGAAAATAACCTCTTGTGCCCTATGAAACACTGTGTTTATTTTTGGAATAAATGAGGGATCTAATCTAAGAACCACCCTGTCCTCGTGAAACATGCACAGGTCCTTCCTGATCGATAAGGCAGCTAATTCCGATATACGTCTGGCAGAAGTAATAGCTATCAGGAATGAGACCTTAAGCGACAGGTGCTGCAAGGAACATGTTCTAAGTGGTTCAAAGGGAGAAGAGGTTAGTGCTTGTAGAACCCGGGGTAGATCCCAAGAGGGATACCTATGAATCACAGGCGGTTTACTATTAGCAACTCCCTTTAGGAAAGATCTGATGGTAGGATGTCTAGACGAAGAGTCCCAAGAAAGTACCGTAGAAAGAGCCGCTAGCTGTCTACGGATAGTGTTGGGCGACAACCCCTTGTTAACACCCTCCAGTAAGTATTCTAACACCCTTGGAATGGTTACCTGTGACAGACTCATGTGATTTCACAGAAGTTCTTCCACGTATGGTTGTAAATACGGTTAGTCGCCGGTCTCCTGGCAGCCTAAATCATATCGATCACCCCTGACGAATAAGACTCCCGAGTCAGAGTGTGGCGTTCAAGTGCCAGGCGGTCAACTGAAGCCATTGGGGATCTGGATGCTGAAGATCCCCCTGTATCAACCAAATGCGGCTGTCTGGAATCCTCCACGGAGCGGAGACGGAGAGGCTCACCAGGTCTGCAAACCATGGTCTTCTGGGCCACTGACGAGCACTAAATATTACCTCCGCCTGCTCCTCCAGGATCTTCCTGATAACTGCTGGCAACAGAGGCAGTGGGGGAAAAGCATATAAGAGGCCTTGTGGCCATTGGCTGCATAGGGCGTCCGCCCCCACGAGGGGAACCGAGAGAAAAATCTGGGCAGCTGGGTATTCTCCAGCGAGGCAAACAGGTCCACTATCGGACAACCAAATCTGTCCGTGATCTCCCTGAAGACATCCGGATGTAATTTCCACTACGAATGGTCCACTATTGCCCTGCTGAGGAAGTCTGCCTGCCGATTCGCCTCCCCCGAAATGTGCTCTGCCCTGATGGAGAGCAGGTGCTTCTCGAGCCTCTGTCATGAGGGACTTTGACCGGGTACCCTCCTGCCGATTGACATGGGCTTTTGCCACCACGTTGTCCATCAGGACAAGCACATGTTGCCCCCTGACTACTAATTGGAAATGTTTGAGAGCTAGGTGGATCACTCTGAGCTCCAACCAATTTATGCTGTGCCTCGGGTCTGCCTGTGACCACTGACCCTGAGCCATCCGGGTTTGGAGATGAGCACCCCAACCGAAGAGACTTGCGTCCGTGGTCACACTGATGAGACTGGGCTCTTTGAATAGGGTCCCCTTGTGAATGCCCGAGGAAGCCCATCAGCCAAGAGACAGACGCACCTGACGAGGGCCGCGCACCAACTGGTTGGAGGTACTGGTGTGTTGTCTTTGATACCGAAGCAGAAACCACTGTAGGGTTCGAGCATGTAGTCGGGCCCACGGCACTATCGCTATGCAGGATATCAATTTTCCCAGTAGCTGGGAAAGGAGAGCCAATGATACTGTCCTGTTCCTGCATACCTTGAGAGCCAGGTCCCTGATGTTCCTGTGCCTCTCCTCCAACAGGTACATGTGACAATTGTCCATGTCTATTACCCCCAGGTGTAACAGACGGGTTGATGGTGTTGTCTGGCTCTTTTTGAAATTTATTAAGAACCCATGGGTCTGTAGGGTCCTGATTATGAGTTCCAAATCTGACTGAGTGGATGTTGCTGACAGCGATTGCATCAGAATGTCGTTCAGATAACACTGGACGCGCACCGGAACCAACCTCAAATGGGCTGCCAGAACTGCCAGTATCTTGATGAAGACCCTGGGGGCGGAGGAGAGGTCAAATGGGAGAGCCCTGTACTGAAAATGACGGTTGAGATAGCAAAACCATAGATACTTGCGATGTGCTGGATGGATAGGGATATGTAAATATGCCTCTTAGAGATCTATTGATGTTAGAAGTCTCCCCTCCTGATACTGCTTAGGGTGGAGTACAACGTCTGTATCTTGAATCTCCTGTATTGCAGGTGGAGGTTCAGTCCCTTGAGGTCAAGGATTGCCCTCCATCCTCCTGAGGATTTTGGAACCACAAATAGGATGGAGTAATACCCCAATCCCCGCTGAGGCAAGGGGACCTCCTCTATGGCTTTGATGCCCAGAAGATGTCGGATGCTGTCTTCCATGAGATCTCTTTTTATGGGATTTCTCATGGCTGGGCAAGAGACAAAGTGATCTATTGGAGTGGACCTGAGCTCCAGGGACAGGCCTTCCCTTATGGTGTACAGAACCCAGGAGTCCGTGGTCGTGCTTTCCCATTGGCGGATAAAAAGAGTAAGCCTGCCACCAATGGGAGGGGTCCTCTCCGAGTCATTTGGAGCAGCGGAAGGGGCGACCCCCTCTACCACGGAAGGAAGGTTTGTTCTGGGATTGGTACCGGGATCTGTCCCTATAACCCGCTCCATCAAAGGGGCGCTCTGCCTTCGGAGCAGGGGGCCTGTAGGATTGTCCCTGTTCTGACATAGATCCAGTCCGAAAGGACTGACAGCGGCTGTAAGGGAGGAAACGCCTGTTGGTTTTCCTAGCTAAGTGAGAAATGATCTTTTGCTTTTGTTTATTCTCAATGAGGTATGGGGTCAATGCCTCCCCAAACAGTTGGCTGCCCGTGAAGGGGGCAATGGCCACACGCCACTTGTGCTTGCTTTCAGCCTTCCAGTTTTTGAGCCAAAGTAGCCTCCTGGCGACTACACCGGAAGCCATTGCCCGGGCTGAGTGTTTGGCCGAGTACATGGAAACATCTACCATACACTCAGATGTGGCTATAAGTTTAGTAAGATCCTGATGGATCCTGACCTCCTCTAAAGGGATCCTGTCCCGTAATTGTCTAAGCCAGGTAATGGAAATCCTGGTAAAAAAGGAGATGGAAGTCGCAGCCTTTGCTGCCCATGCGGATGCCAGATGAACTTTGCATAAGGCAAGTTCAGACTTTTTATCTTCCGCTTTAAGGGCATCTGAAACATCCGCCGGAAGGCTGGCTGCAGAGAACAGTGGAGCTAGGGATTCATCCACTGACCAAAAGGTCAGTCAAATTCTTTGCCATGTCCACAATCTTGCGCTCAGATGCTCCCTGAGAAGGTTGAGCTGCCAGAGATTCCCATTGTCCCTGAATGTTCTTCAAGAATATGGGGGGACATGGGATATGGAGGTGTTTGTCTACTGGTTCGGCAAATAGAGGATTAGAGTCCTGATCAGTGGAAAGCTGAGGGGTCGGAGCTGTAACAGAAGAGAGTTTGCTCACTGCACAGGCCCTGTACAGCAAGGAGGGAAAGAGCAACCATTGAACAGCTCTGCCATGGGCTGAGGCTCACGTGTAGGCTCCTCGCACTCAGACCAGCGGTCCTCACCTTCATCATAATCCGAGACATTGGAAGACTCGGATTCAGGAGAGTGGGATGGGGAAACCATACCTGAACGATCCAATGGAGGTCGAGAAGAGGAAGTTGGTGCAGAAGAAGGCCCAGGAACTGGTGATGCCTGATGGATACCCAATGATGCCACGGCCTGGATCACTGCCTGTGATATCCATTATTGGAGCTGGTCTGAAAAAGATGGCTCTAGTGGAGGCCGTAACCCCACAGCCGTTGGAGTGAATGTAACAGTGGGTGCAGATGACGGACCGGGCATATCAAGGTCTTCCCCAAACAAGGGTGGACCCACCTGACCAAAGGTCTGAGTGGAGACCTGCTGAATTGCGCTCACAGGCGACCAGGCCCTCGATGTGGACAGCAAATGAGCTCCCATCTCAGGTGGTATGGAACCAGAAGGTGTATGACCCTGTTCTGCTGACAAGCGTTGGTCCCGGGAGAATTGCTTCTCCAGAGCTCTATGTGTTCGGTCGGCCTGCTTATCGCTTGTCTTGCCAGCCTTTCTGCCGTATTTAGATTTTGCTTTGGCCTTATCTGTAGGCGCCTCAGAAACCGGCTCAGCTTGGACAGTGGTGTTGTCTGTGTCCAAAGGCTGTGGCTCAGTGGGTTCTGCCATGTCAGTTGAAATGCACTCCAGACGAGACTCTGGTACTGACTCGCTCCGCATGAGATGTCAGGAGCCCTCCCGAAGAAAGGCTGACTGCACGTGGATAAGCGTGAGCCGGCCCACTGGCAAACCTGGGTTCACGCTGGGCGCTCTGGGGCATTTGTCACCAAGGCACAGGGCAACCGTATACCAGGCCTGAGGTCAGAATGGTGACGAAATCAGACATGTCTCACAATAGTGGTAATGGTCAGGATCCTGGAGGCAACCACTAGATGCGGAGTGGCAGAACTCAGATAAGGTATGGCGAGCAGGACCTGCTGGACCTCAGCTTAGAAGTAATTCCACCAAAATTGCTGATCTGATGATTGCAAGTGGATAGTAAATCCTGAAAGTAAATCTTAATTGCAGATTAGGGAGAAATAAATAAAGGCAAGAAATATCAGTGATAGTTGTGAAGAAACTGTATGCAATCAATCCCAAAATGGCGTCCCTGCCTGCCCTGGGCGTTTCCCAATGGGAATATTAGGTGACAAAATGGCGGACACCCTGAATACAGAGGGAGGAATACTACCTCCATGCGGGGGGGGGGGAGGAGGAGAGGAAACGAATCCCTGAACCAATACGAAATTCCAAGTCCAGAAGGGGCAAAAAGGTAAAAGTTCGATTTCTTCAATCCACTAATGAGTAATCGGGCCTAACAGCTGTTAGGCGCGATCTGCTGTTCGCCGCAGAACAAGGCTTCGTTCCTTTTAGCGGCAGCCAAAGGAAAGGAACTTCAAGTAACAGGCTTTCTTTCTAAATTACACCGTGCTGCAAGCAGAACTGCTAATAGCCTGAGTTACTTCAAATAAGAAGTAGTTCAGCGAATCCAAAATGGCGGCCGTTTGTGGAAAGCTCTGACCGGGCCCGGTCAGAGAAGAATCCACATGGCCTCAAAATGGTGGCCGCTAGAAAGAATGCATCCGCTGTTCTAAGGGGATTGACTAACTCAGACCCCTTATTCTCTTAAACAAAGGATCCCCCCCCTTTGATTCTTCTGTTAAGAAAGTGAATTAATTCAGCAAACTGCTAAATTAGGGGGAAAGGCAGCCGCCACCACCACCCCCCCAGCAAGGAAAGAAATACAACTATGCTCCCAAGGAAAGGGAAAGGAAGGAAAAAAATGGCTAAACCTCCCAGAGAATGACTAACCAAACTATAATTCTCCTATTCTCCAGGAAGAATCCATCAATGCTTTAACAATATCTAGTCTGACCTGCTATTCCAATGAAGAGAGTCAAGTTATCACATCCTCATGGGTGAAAGACTAAGATGAAACTGGGAAGTCCCAGTCAATGAGGGGCATGACAACTTGACAACCAGACTGATTGGGCAGGAGGACTGAAATAACCCATTGGTGGATTCTTCAGTCATCATGCTGGAGAATGGCATATCACAAAGCCACAGTCCAAGATAACTGTAGTGTGTTTCTAGAAATTAAGAGTGATAGTTAGCTAGAAAAAAGACAGTTGTTTGCTACTGTTAGAAGAAAATTTTGGTTTGATCCAGGCTGGGTCAAAGAGTACAGGACAACTATTTGAAGCAGAGTTGGAATTTATTTGACAGAGAAATGGACAGCTTAGTAATCAAAGAAAGGAAAGATTAGAAATATTTATAGAAAAGTCTGATCTTTGCTTTAGAAAGCACATGAATGCAGTTCATTTACGGGGGGGGGGACTCTTGAGCAAGTCCAGTAGGAAGAAAATGCAGATTTCTCACCTTGCAGGGTGTGATAATCATCCCCTCTTTGTGTGCCCACATATTGACTCTGGTTATTTTCATATTTTGAATGAATTTCTTATAGTTGTGATTGAGTTGCTGATACTGGCCAATTTCCTAGTGAGAACACACTGAGGTTTTCAGTTCCAAGTATCAATATGGGCAGAAAAGCTTAAGCGGTATTTTATTGCTTTTCTGCCCACTGACAGGTCAGGGAAGGTCAGAGTTGGCAAGTAGTCCAGGCAAAAATGGTGGCAACAATGGTGGCAATGAGGGTTTTGCCTTCTCACATGATAGGGAATATACCATCAGGCAACTGAAGAGCAACCTTAGCAGTTTCATAAACTATAGCTATCCCAGCAACTGTCTCCAAATTTGCTTAACCCGTGGGAATTTTGGAAATTGAATTTTCAGCATCCTGGAAGCCACTTTGTTGAAGGTTACACTGGATCTTTCTCATCTGCAAGGATCATTTAAATTAGATCCTTCCTGCCATATCAATAAATAATTGTGAATTGCAGATTATATCTAATTTACCCTATTTAGTCCATGACTTGCAAAATTTCTTAGTGTATCCACTGAAGTATTATGATGCATATGCGTAAAGAGAACTTCAAAATGTGCTCCCTTTAGTTGGCTGATGAGACATTCTGTGCACTCTTTGTATATAACTGTGCAAGGATAACTGACAGCAGTTTTGCAGATAAAATCAAGAAGGCCATTAAATGTATTAATCGCTTTGTCAATACTACTCTCCCTTTCACGAAATGTCTACTACTCATACCTCCTTTACAATAAGTTAGACACTACATATTGGGAAATCTATAGTAAAAGCTCATTCCTGCTCAATATAACTCCAACATACATAATACTATCTTAGACAAAAATAAAAAAACCTCTAACAATATTATATTCACAGATTTGTTTTTATCCAGCAAAAAGAAATTCAGCAAAGGCGTGAAGTCCACAGTGCAGAAAACGGTATGAAAACAAGCTCTTGTGCCCTTTATAAATCAGCTCCATGGGGAAATGCAAGTGCACATTTTTATTCACAGCAGAGTTAAGTTTCCATACAAACATAATTCCTATATCCTGTGGCCTTTATAACACATTAATTGTCCTTCCCTTCATTCAAAGGACTCTGCCCCACCTACTCCAGATGTACAGTATGCCTGTTTAAAAAATCTTTTGTCCATATTACAGCTTCTTCTTGCAATCCTCTGAAACCAGCCTTACTGAGGCATAAGATAGATAATAGCAGCTTGATTGCACAAAAGCTTGCTCCCTTAAAAAAAGAAAAAAGAAAAGACAAATTATCAGGAAGACTGATTGGGGAAATCACCCCCTTTTTATCAGCTTAAAAGTAATGATTATGGGGCAATGAACAATTTGCTTTAAATGAAAGGGAAGTATCTGCATTTCAAAACCATTTTAAGTTCAAAAGGAAAAAGGATTTACTGAATGCCTGGGAGGGGGAAGGAAGGGAAGAATGATTCTGCTAAAAACATAAGATGTCTAAGTTACAGGAATAAACACCCACAGAAACATACCACTTTTAAATCTGGTGAACACATTAACTGAAGGGAGAAGGAAGAGACACATAATATAAATGAACACTATTTCTGATTCTGCAATAAATACTGTAAGGTGCCAGTCTATTTCTACTCAATTAAACCATTATGCTTCATATTTTTAACTATAAATTTTGAATAATTATAACAAATAACAAGCTGAGGTAGCTAAACAAGAGAGCTAGAGATTTCCTCTAGCTGTCTTGTTTAGCTATCTTAACTTGTTACTGAGTCATCAAACAGATGATTCTACAGGAATGTAGAATTAAAATCTTTGCCCTATAAAAACTACTCCCCCAAATCTTGTGATAAGAAACAATATGATACATTTTTCAACCAAGTTGTATTGTTTCCTGCCATACGCTGTCATATACCTAGTTTATACATAAAATTAGTTTATAAAAAGTCATATCTATATAGTACATTCTTTAACTTGATATTCTCCAGATGTGTTGGAATTGCAATCCCCAAGAGGCAAGATTTGGGAATTTGCAAACTCTTATCCCAACATAACTGGAAGGTCCCAAATTGAGTAAGACTGTTATATAGTTCTGTTATATAGTGATCTTTCAATCAAGTTATCCGAAGTGAATGGTTCTAAAATGGGGCAACTTTACACTTCCAGGTAAAGATTATAAAATGAAAATCACTTTTACAAGCAGCTCAGACACACTTAATAAGCTACTTCATAATACTCCAAGCCACCTCAGTCTTAACATACCCTAATCCAGTGGTGGCGAACCTATGGCACGGGTGCCAGAGGCAGCACTCAGAGGCCTTTCTGTGGACACGCGTGCTGTCGCTCCAGTCCTAGGCCTTCAGCTGGGTTTTATAAAACCTTTTCGCTTTAGGCCTCCGCCGCTGTGTACCAAAAAAAAAAAGGGGGGGTTCAATCAATCAGTCAATTTCAACTTCTCATGGGGAAAAAAAGATCTTGCAAAGTTGGAATTGATTGATTGAACTTTTTAGTCCCACCCAGTCTGCTGTTACCACCACAGCCACGCCCACCCAATGGGCCACACCCACCTGGCACCCGACGATGCATAAGTGGGTCTTGGGTTGCAGTTTGGGCACTCAGTCTCTAAAAGGTTCGCCATCACTGCCCTAATCATTATTTACAGAATGCAGAATAACAAAGTTGAAAGAGACCTTGGAGGTCTTCTATTCCAACCCTCTGCTCAAATAGGAGACCCTTATTATGGACAAATGGCTCTCCAAACTTTTCTTAAAGACCTCCAGTGATACAGCACCCACAACTTTTGGAGGCAAACCATTTTGGGAGGTGGAAGTGAGAAAGAAATGTAGTCAAGAAACCACCAGTGTTTAAACAATTTAACTGTGCCTCACTTGGCTCACACAGAAAATTATACAGGATTGATTCCCATCACCAAGAACAATAATAATCACTCTATTTTTAGGAGATAGGAATCAACTAGATTTTCCAGGCCCTCCCACTTTCATTTTTTACACATAACTATCCTGTAGGCAACAACACTGACTAATGTACATGATGATGGCTATTGAAAAGACAACACAACTTTCCAGCATAAAAACCACCCAAAGATTTATGGAGCCTTATGTCATGCAGTTAAAGACTTTCATTTAACAGTTTTGCTGCTACAACCCTGCCTCTGATCTAGGCCTCCATAGCTGTCTTCACTCCTTCCACTGCTTCAATTTGGGACAGTAAAAGGAAGAAATAGTACACAACACAGGGCAACTAAGCAACATAAATAAACATTAGCAAATAAGTTCTATTATATAAAGTAGCTATCTAGCAAATGAGAAATTTATTCGTCATCAGAATATAGGATTACAATGTTATTTAATATAACAATCTATTAATGTATTATGAAACTCTCTGTAAAGGCTGTACCCAAATATAAAGCAAATTGATTTCTACATTAGAGGTGAGAAACAGATGGCTCTCCAAATGCTGTTTGGATCAGTCTCAGAATTCCTCAGCACTAACATATTGGTTGGAGTTCCTTGGAGCTGTAATTCAGAAACATCCAACAAGCGTCAGTTTGTCCAGCTTTATCTAAATCAGTGTCACTTCCCAAGCAATTCCCATTATTATATGCTGGTTATTATGCTGGTTATATGCTGGTTATAATCATACTGAGCTAAGATGTAAGCTACAATTTACAAACCACAATGATTAGGTTCACACAATATACAGATAGTCCTCAACTTACAATAGTTTGCTTAGTGAGTGTTCAAAGTTACAATGGCACTGAAAAAAATGACGTATGACTGTTTTTAATACTTACAACTGCTGCAGCATCCCCATGTGGTCAAAATTCAGATGCTCAGCAACTGATTCATATTTATGATGGTTGCAGTGTCCCAGGGTCATGTGATCACCTTTTGCCACCTTCTGACAAACAAAGTCAATGGGGAAGGCGGATTCACTTAACAACCATGTTACTAACTTAACAACTGCATTGATTCACTTAACAACTGTGGCATTTTGGGCTCAGTTGTGGCCATAAGTCGAGAACTACCTGTAGTAAGCCAAAGCTATGTAAATCACAATATGTCTTAATAATGATGAATGAATCCAATCAGCAGCTAATATATTATGGAATGCTTTACTGATATCTTTGCTCATACATAGCCCAAAGGAATGAACTATCAAGAGGCTGGAATATATCTGTACTTCCCCTTTACAGACTATCTCAGATTGATAGAATAACAGCAAAAGAAAATATATTTTCCTCCCAGGGAAGCAGGTGTTCTTTCAATCACAATTGGTTTGCTTACTCTTTGGAAGGTAGAACACACAACAAAGAATCATATAAGAGCATTTCCAAGGCCTTTGTAAACATCCATTTTCATTAGGACAAAGTCCTGCCACAACATAAAATTAACTTACTTATCAAGATACACAGGGGACATTTGAAATAACTCGTTAAAATTATTTTAGAAGCTTAACATTCAATTCATAAATGCTATTTTACTGACAGAAAGGGACCTACATTAACATATGCTTTGATACCTATATTGGCAATCATCAAACACTGTAGCAGATTGCTGGGAGAACAGAAAAAGACAAAGAAATAATTTGCTAGTGAAGCTTGTAAACTGTAGAATGCAGAACAAAATTGAAACAAGGCATGTAGCTGTATTTTTGGAACAGATAGAGGCTGAATAGTATGATCAAATAACTAATGCTATCATCAAGTGTTTCTAAAGCTCTATATGTAAGGAAAGAGAGCATCTTTTTTTAGACCAGTGGTTCTCAACCTTTCTAATGCCGTGACCCCATAATACAGCTCCCCACGTTGTGGCGACCCTAGGGGTGTGGCCAAGTGGGTGTGGCCACTGAGTGGGTGTGGCCACAAAGTGGGTGCGGCCAGGTGGGCGTGGCCACCAAGTGGCCGCCGCGGGTCCCATCGCCGCAGCAGATGCACAGCTGCCCTTCCTCTTCCTCGACGCAACCTTTCGCCCGCCCCAGTGACTCCCTCCCCTTTCCGGGGTCCAGGCATACCCTCCGGAGCCCCGGCGTTTGCACCTTGCAGGAAGCGCAGGATGCCCACGTAATCCTGCTTGGTTGAGGACACTGAGGCGAAGACGCAGCTGGCGGTCCGTATCCTTTGCCGGTTCCAAAGGGAGAGCACTGGTGCCGGGGGCCACTGCCCCCGCCACCGCTGCCACCGACGGCTCAGATACCGACTGCACTTCCATGGCTCCTGCCTGCCTCAGCTTCCAGAAGATCATCCCGACCCCATTTCCTCACCCCGAGGCGCACGCCAAACGCACCACAAGGATCGAGTCTCTCGAGCTCAACCTACCAACAGGAACACCGCACTGGGACATGGCGAGGAGGCGGCGTCGGCAGCTAGGAGGAGCAGAGCACAAACAGCGCCAAATGGAGAGAAGTGTTTCTCTCCATTCAGCGCTGTTTGCGCTCTGCTCCTCGTAGCCGCCGCCGCCTCGCCATGTCCCAGCACGGCGCTCCTGCTGGTAGGTCGAGCTCGAGAGACTCGATCCTTGTGGTGCGTTTGGCGTGCGCCTCGGGGATGGAGGGCGCCTAAAGCCGAGCGGGGAGTGGAGCGTGCGCCAGCAGGAGCGCCGCGCTGGGACATGGCGAGGAGGCGGCATCGGTGGCTACAAGGAGCAGAGCGCAAACAGTGCTGAATGGAGAGAAGCGAGTGGTGAGTGGAGCACGCAAAGGGACTTGACCAGGGCAGCGGGCGGAGGGGAGGGTTGGCTCCGGAGGCGGAGGTGGCGCTCAGAAGTGAGGGAGGGGGCGGTGGCGAGATGAGCCCAAAACAGTAGTCTGGAGAGCACAGCAGGCGGCGAGGGGAGAGGCTGGAACAAAGAGAGAAGCGGCTGGGAAGCCGGAGAAGCAGGGAAGATGTGGGGATTTCTACGATAGGATGCAAAAAAAAAAAAAAAACCTTGCCTTGGCACGTTGGCGTGCCTTTGCCCTTCCGACCCTAGGAGAAGTTGGCTTGCAAACTTGTTTGCGGTCGGTTTCTCAGTTTTGGGAGACTGCATGCGTGTAGAATGCCATGCAGTACAAAAACGGTAAGCTTTTTGTCCGCTTTATTGGTTAAGAGGGGGAAGCCATTCTCTTGCGGGATGTTTCTTGCATGATTGGTTGCTGCATTTCGCTGCACGGAACTCTTGTTCCGCAAAGGCTTGCATGGAGAAGCAGTGGCTGCTTCCTTTGCAGCCAGCCAGGCAGGCCAGAGAGGAAACTTAT